ATCCTCTGCAGGAGAAAGATGAGGCTGTCTCCTCCACCCTTTCACAGGGGTCGAACGATTCATAAGAGTAGCAAAATGACAGTTATGAAGTAGCAATGAAAATAATGTTATGGTTGGGGGGCCACCACAACATGAGGAACTGTATTAAAGGGTCACGGCATTAGAAAGGTTGAGAACCACTGGTCTACAAGCGCTGGTGAAAACCTGCTCAGCCTCAGAGCAACATGAAAGATAACTATGCTCAGATAAGCTATACTGCTTGTCTCTGGACACTGGTAAGGAGTTGGCCCATGGGATCTCTACGGTCTCTGAGACCTGGGGCACCGGTGTGAAGCACAGAACAGGAAGGATCCTGGTAGCCAGCAGTTTAATGTGGAGCCATTCCTAGCACTGGAGTCAAAATGGAGGCAGGATAATGATGAAAGCAAGAGATCAGAGCCAGAAATCAACTGGTCGAGGGTCCCAAGCTTGTCAGTAAAGATCCTGAGTAGGGTGTGCCAGGCTTCTGCAATGTTCATCCTTCCCTCGGGAAACTGCAACTTAGACGGGTCTTGTTTACACGAGGAGGCCACAGAGCTGGGACAGTTAGAGAGAGCAACAAAAGTAAGTGTGAGGCCTTCTGACTTCCCATCGGGGCCAAATGGCACAACAATGCTTAGCATCCGCAATCACTTGTCCGGTTAGAGTCAAAAATACCAGAAGAGTGACACGACGTGCTGGGTGCTCATCTGCTTTGACATACAACAATCCTGAACATGTGTGCACCTCTGCCTGGTGATCCACCAGGTCAGCACAGCATAATCACCCAATTTATGTATCTCTAAGTTCAGCCATCACTCAAAAGTCACCAACCACAACAGCAAGTAAGCCCAGGAAAACACGCCTGAATCTGAAGTATTAAAAGTGCCAATGGTTCCCCCCAACTACCAGGACCCCAATATTGCCTTGCAGACCTGGTTAGACCAGATGATGCACAGCGGTACAGATGGGAATTAGAAAACGCAGGGAATCTAGGACAGATGAACCTTTCAGGACCAGGGGTGACAGTGGCGATACCAGGAGGGAAAGGGGGTGAAGAAAGGGGGAATGGATCACAGGGAGCTACATATAACCTCCTCTCTGGGGGACGGGCAGCAGAAGGGTGGGTGAAGGGAGATGCCGGACAGTGTAATATAAGATACAATAATAATTTATAAATTATCAAGGGTGCATGGGGGAGAGGGGAGGAGGAAGGGAAGGGGAGGGGGAAAAAAAGGAAAATGAGCTGATTCCAGGAACCCAAGAGGCAAGCGAATTTTGGGAATAATGAGGGCAACAAATGTATAGATGTGTTTTATACAATTGATCTATGTATTGTGATGAATTGTATGAGCCCCAATAAATTGATTTAAAAAAAAAAAGTGCCAATGGCAAGCAATAAAACACTGAAATACAGGTAAATATGTCTTCTCTATCGGAGCCAGCTAACAAGTATCCTGTGGCAGTTTAGTTATACAACCTGGAAGGGGAACGTAGCACATAGGAATATGATGTCCAGTGAGGCAGGGAACTCATTTCTATAAATAGACATATTTAGGTCTCAAGACAGACTTAAAAATCCATGGGAGTTAGGTATGACATGTAACAGCATTATTTGTTGAAAACATTTTCTTTCCTTTTAAAATAACACATACTATTATAAATCAGATTGTTGTTATTGGAATCACCTGGACCATGGCGTGAATTATACTTAAGAACTGTGCAAAGCTGGGACTGTGATTTGGTCTTAGTGTCAGACTCAATGCTTTAAGGTGCACGTCGAGTTCTGCCCAGTCAGGCAAAGCACAGAAGAAACGAGGCCTCAGGACTGCAGTGGAGGTGACGGCAGTCCGGGAATGGAGTAGTAGAGGACATTGTAAATTTCTTAAGGGACTTAGGCAAGTGATTCAAGACAGAGGGGCAATGATAAATGATCTGAAAAGAAGAGGAGATGGCCAAGACTGCTAGGCTGCCCCAATATCTATTCTTCCTTCTATCTTAGTCGTAGAGCTTGCCACATGACCAGCCAGAAGACATTCTACTTTGCCATCTTCCTTTGCAGTCAGCAGGGGCCATGTGGGCTAATGCCTGTTAGTAGACATGTGTATCAGCTTCTAGGAAGCTGATCATAAGATGGTAAAGTGCCCTCTGCTCCTTTTTCTTGTTTCGCACCATCCTGTTGTCTGGAATTTGGTTGTGATGGTAAGAACCCTAATGGTTATTGAGAAACAAAGAAGGATCTCCCCAAAAGATGGAGGGGTGAGAAGGTGCCCCAATGATTTCCTGGAGCCATCACACCAGCTCTAAACTGCCTACATCTGGATTTTACTTGGAGAAAAATAAACAGTAACATCTTTAGGCCTCTCGGTTTGGGTTTTCTAATAGATGTGATCAAACCTAATCCTAACTAATAAAGGCAGGGGTTGGGGAGTTGAAAGAAAAAGTAATCACAGGAAAAAGGAAAACAGAATTTGGAATGTCTCCCAATACCTGGAGATATTCAGTAACATCCATTGCTGGGCAAGGGAGAATAAGTGTCCTGCTGTAAGGTGTCTCGGGGCTGTTAACCACAGTCAACTGTTCAAACCTACGAGATCCTCTGCAGGAGAAAGATGAGGCTGTCTCCTCCCTTAAAAATTTATATCCCTTGGAAGAGATGATGTATCTAGGGAGTGATACAGCACTAGGGTGTGATATAGCATAATTATGAAATACATAATTATCCTCTAGTTCTTTATTATTTCCTCCCCTTACCATTATGATCTTTGTTTCACCTCATTAATCTTGTTAGACCTGTGTAGATCCATTGATGCATGAAAACCAAGATAGATAATCCTTCAGAAACAGTAACGGGAGTAATGATTCCCCAAGGGACTGGGAAGAGAGGGGTGGGAGGGGTAGAGGGGGGACTGATAGCAATGACTATATAATCCCACTCGAGGGGAACAAACAGAATTGCAGGTGAACACATTGGACGATGTAAGATACGGTAAATAACAACAACAACAACAACAACAATAAATTATAGCTGAGGAATTCCACAGGACAGTCCTACTCTGCCCTATACGGTCAGTGTGAGTTGGAATCCACTTGCTGGCAGTGCATGAGTGATGGTTACGGAAGTGCACGCAGATCACACAAGCTACATACTCCATGTCTTATGGTGGATGGGAATACCCTCCAAGGTACACGGTCCCCTCAGCAGTCATGTTTTCTGTAATCCTAGGCTAGAGAAACCTGGCAAACATCTCCCATCCTCGCATAGAAATAGCTTCTCCCTGAAGCCACACACAACCACTGGCCCTGGAACGAGCCGCAGGAAGGGCTGGAATGGTTGAACGGGAAACATTTTAATGAAATACAGAAAGAGCTTTGTTTCCTAAGCCACTCAAACCAAAAGCAGAAGAGCTCTGCTTTCCTCATCTTCGTGCCCAGCTCTGGGGGGTCACCATCAGACAAGCGACATACTCACACCTGATAGCGGAGTTCTCTTCAAAAGATGTAAGGTTATCCATTTATCCTCCTTTCTCTCTTAGTTTTTATCTCCTACCCAAAACAAGAGCTGTTCTTATTCTGAGTCATTACTATGTAGTTTTTATTTCAAGAAAACAACCCTGTAATCCAGGGCAGATGATCCCTTCAGGACTAGTGGTGTGAGTGGCGATACTGGGAGGGTGGAGGGAGAGTGGGTTGGAAAGAGGGAACTGATGACAAGGATCTATATGTGACCTCCTCCCTGGGGGACGGACAACAGAAAAGTGGGTGAAGGGAGACGTCGGACAGGGCAAGATATGACAAAATAGTAATTTATAAATTATCAAGGGCTCATGAGGGAGGGGAGAGCGGGGAGGGAGGTGAAAAAATGAGGACCTGATGCCAGGGGCTTAAGTGGAGAGCAAATGTTTTGAGAATGATGAGGGCAATGAATGTACAAATGTGCTTTACACAATTGATGTATGGATGGATTGTGATAAGAGTTGTATGAGCCCCTAATGAAATGATTAAAAAAAAAAACATCCCTGTACAAATGCTTCAAGGGCAGATAATAAAAAATGCTGAGTCAAAATGACTCAAGTTTTTATTAAGCGAATGGCCATTCTTACTGTTCCCCCTCATTCAGAACCTTATTTAAAAAATCCTCAGCTTTAAACTTTTTCAGATTACCTCACACAATACTGGATGTTGTGTCCTATAATCTGTGTTTATTTTCCACAGGGTATAATTAGCCATATATAAACTATAATGGTCCTCCCTTTTATCCATTTTTTAAAAAATGGCTCACTCATTCAGAACGTATTTACTGAGTGCTTACTGCATGTCACCTGTGGGTATCAGTGAACAAAGGAAGAACCTGCCCTCTTCACGCTCAGGTTCTAGCAGTAGCGTATGGAGTGAAACCCACTGGCAGCACGTTGATTCTGACTCCCAGTGAACCCTTTGAGGGTTTCCAAGACTGTAAATCTGTACAGGAGCAGGTCGCCTCATCTTTCTCCCAAGAAACACCTGGTGGGTTTGAATGCCCACCTGGCAGTTAGCAGCCCAACACCCAGCCCAATGCCTAACTCAAAGCATCACCAGGGCTCTGGCATGTATCTGTACACATCCTATTTCCTTCAGAAGATCCAAAGTTCCATTATCCCAACCACCTCATACTATCAAGACCCACAGTTCCATTCCGAAAAAGCCCACATTAAACCAGTCTTATTCTATGGCACAGGTGGGAGATAGAAGCTGAAAGAAAAAGAATGTTGAATAAAATTAGAATTGTAAAATAAAATTTTTTTTTATTTTTACAGTTCCAAAATGGCACTTAATAAACTATAAACTTCTTGAGAACTGGGATCATGTGTCTTTGTCTTAGTGTTTTATGTTTTAGGAAAAATAAAATAGTTATATTTTTATAGTTCAAAAAATACAACTATATTGTGGAGCAGAAGGTATACCTACATGAATTGTTAATCCAGCTCACAGAGCAGGCTGCTGAAGACCAGGGTCTCAAACCTTCCACTTAAAATGCAGCCACCAGCGAATTATGCAAATAATTTAAAAAAAAATAATCATTTAAAAAAAAATAATCATTTTATTAGGGGCTCATACAACTCATCACAATCTGTACATACGTCATCTGTGTCCAGCACTTTAGTACATATGTTGACTTCATCATTCTTACGACACCCACTTTCCACTTGAACTCCTGGTTTCAGCTCATTTTCTCCTCTCCCTCCCTGCTCCCCCCGAAAATGCAAATAATTTATGCAAATAATTTGTTAGGCCAAAATTGCTTCATTTAATTTCATTATTTCCAAGCATCATATATGTGGGCACATTATTAATGAGGGTGTGTGATTTGTGAAAAGCACAGTAGTTGAAATTACCACAATGCTGTGACTTAGGCAGGGCCACAATTAGGCTCATTTTCCAGACCAGAATGAAGGCCTCACATAAGGACATCCACCGTGATCACATTGTATGTATCCTAAGATCCACAGTACCTACACTGGTATAGTAACACAAAGCACTCAAGAAATATTTGCCAATATGAATGACTGTTCTCAACTACCATGTGCATTTTTGCTGATGCAAGGATAAGGTACAGTCAAATGTGCTTGACACAATAGATGGATGGATGGTTTGTGATAAGAGATGTACGAGTCACCAATAAAATGATTAAAAAGAAAAAGGTACAGTTTTGTTTTTGTTTCCAAAGACAGTTCAAAGCTGAGCTGACTTTAATGTAAAGGAAATGTTCCTTCATGTGTTTTCTTTGCAACTCAGAGAAGTCTCAATCTCAAGGTAAGCAATGTGGGTAGAGGCGGCTGAAAACAAAGCTAAGTTTCTCTTGGCAAAACCTGCCACCACAGCATATAACAAGGATGTAAAATGAAGGGTTGCTTTGGTGAAACTGACCCAATTCTACTGATCTCATTTTATGAGTTCTGATCTGCCTGTGGCAAACAATGAAGTCATTCTGAGTATTTTTCTATATCTTCAAAATAAAGTAAGGTTTTGCTTCCCAGAAAAGCTACTGTGTTCCAAAGGTGAGAGTAAACAAAAGGAGACCCTGGCTGGTACAGAGTTAACAGACTGGACTGCTAAATGACTGAAAGTTCGGGGTTCTAGTCCACGCAAGAGTGGCTCAGAAGAAAGGCCTGGTGATATAATTCTGGAAAATGTGCACTGGAAATCCTGTGGAGCACATGCATTCAGGATATATTCAATGGTAACTGATTTAAGGTACTTTTAAAATGCATTTTTGATAACTTACCTGAGAAGGGGCACTGCAGGAAAGCCCAGAGAGCTCGCTGATCCGCGCAGCAGCGGTGGGGTTGCTAGAGCTTATGAGGACAGGGGGGCTGATCTCCATGGAGTGGCGGTTCTGAGACGCCTGGGAGGACTTGCTGGCCATGGTGAGGGAGGTGAAGGAGTGCCTCTTTCTGGTGTTCTTCTTGGTGTCAGAGTGCTTTGGGGCAGTGCTGCTGTGGGCTGCCACTGAGGTACATTCTCCAGCGTCTACTCCTGGACCAGGAGGCTTATCCCATTCTATCAGCTGCTTAGCAGCTGAGTTAAACTGCAAAGAAATCAACAAATTGACTTAAAAAGGTTAGACAGCAAGCAAAGAGTTACTGAGATATATTTTCAACCTTCTTTCCTGTATCTATAAAGCTGTGCACATTTTTTGGTTTGCTTTGTTTTTTTCATTGAGATATTACTTTTATTCCTGGGGATTTTCATTGTACATGACAGATAGATGGTGAAAGAATAATAAGCAATCCTAGTTAAATACTTTATTGCTGTTGTTATTAACTGGTAGAGCTGACTCCAGACTCATGAGGACCCCGTGTACAACAGGGACAAAATGCTGGGCCATCCCCATGATCCTTTGACGATCAAACTGGTGTGATCTAGAAAGCTTTGACAAGCTGAGTTTTGGAAGCAGAGAGCCAAAGCCTTCTTCTTTCTTCAGCTTAGTTTGTAAGCTCTGGTGAAACCAGTTCAGCATCATACAAGTCTCCCCTGCTGATTGATGGGATGTTTGCTGTACATTGGCTGGGAATACAACCCAGTTATAGGTATCCCACGTGGAAAGTGAGAAATCTGCCACTAACGTTCTCTGATGCAAGATCACCAAAACCCAAAGTCACCGCTGCCTAGTGAATTCCAACTCACAGTGACCCTTTAGGGCAGAGAGGAACTTCCCGGCACGTTTCCAAGGCTGTGAATCATTACAAGGGCAGGCTGCCACATATTCTCCACAAATCAGCTAGTAGGTCCAAATTGCCACCCTTCTGGTTAGCATCTGGTTAACCACTGTGCCACCAGGGCTCCCTCCAATCAAAGACTAGAGAGGTTAAAATAAATTTCCCTCTAAAATCCTCAGGATGTCTCATATTTTAATTTGCCTCTAACAGAGATTCTTTGTTTCAATTGACAGATGGGAATTACAGAGGAGTGGGGCCCAGGTGTATCTGCCTGATAGAACAGACCCCATTGCCTGATAATGATTAGGAGCCCAAAACTCATCTGCAGAGTACCCAGTCAGACGGATCCCCTGGCAGATCCGCAAGAGTCTCAGTCAGCCTTATCAGGCAGAGACCATTGCAATCTTGATTATGCTGGATCAAACTGGACACTTGGCCACCACCATTCTCAAAACAGTTGCAGGAAAGTCATTTCTTTAAAGTTTACTGATAACAAACTGCTTATTAGCTTACCTAGATATTTTAAGTAAGAGAACACATTGAAGATTTTTTAACTTCTCAGAAAAGCAAAAGTAATATTAAGATGAAAAAATAAACATTTTAGGTGATATTTTTAAAATCATTTTATTGGGGGCTCATATAACTCTTATTACAATCCATACATAAATCAATTGTATAAAAGCACATTTGTACATTCAGTACCCTCATCGTTCTCAAAACATGTGCCTTCCACTTAAGCCTCTGGCATCAGCTCATTTTCCCCCCTCCCTCCCCGCTGCCCCACCCTCAAGAACCCTTGATAAATTATCTTCCATAATAAAAGAGCATTCTTATCTTATTGCTACATGTTCAGCACTTCAAAAATGTCTTTTCAAGGATCACATTAGAAAGTCCTAGATAGGGAGGAGCTGATACCAAGGGCTCGAGTAGAAAGAAAATGTTTTGAGAATGATAATGGCAACAAATGTACAAATGTTCTTGACACAATGGGTGGATGTATAGATTGTGATAGAAAGTGGTAGAGCCCCTAAGACTATGACCCTTACTCACGCTTCAGGTCTGAAAATGAACTCACCTTCAGGTTAAAATCATCAACCATTTGAGATCAAAAGGGCAGCATTCACCCCAAGCCAATGTCCAGAAGATTAGGACAGAACAATGGAAACAGGACACAAGGGAGGAAGTATGGTCACCACAGTACATTCAGGGTGTGGCAATGGATGACATGAAAACAAAGTTCGTATGAATTATTGAATGTGAAACTGATGATCTACTCGTAAACCTTCACCTAATTGACAGTAAAAAAAAAAAATGGAATGAAATAGATGTATTGTAGTTTTTTATCATTTTATTGGGGGCTCATACAACTCATCACAATCCATACGTACATCAATTGTATACGGCAAATTTGTACAATCGTTACCAACATCATTCTCAAAACATTTGCTCTCCACGTAAGCCCAGGCATCAGCAACTCATTTCCCCCCTCCCTTCTCCGCTCCCCCCTCCCTCATGAACCTTTGGTAATTTATAAATTATTATTTTGTCACATCTTACACTGTCCGATGTCTCCCTTCACCCACTTTTCTGTTGTCTGTCAACCAGGGAGGTTGCATGTAGATCCCTGTAATTGGTTCCCCCTTTCCACCCCACCCTCCCTCTCCACTCCCAGTATCACCACTGGTCCTGAAGGGATCATCCGCCCTAATTCCCTGTGTTTCCAGTTCCTATCTGTACCAGTGTACATCCTCCTCTGGTCTTGCCAGATTTGTAAGGTAGAACTGGGATCATGACGGTGGGGAGGAAGCATTTAG